CGACCGGGCTATACAAAAACCTAGAAAATCAAGTATTTGTAAAAATACCCCAGCGTGACCCACCACCCTGCTGCTGAAGAGGAGTGCCTGCCTGGCTGGAGCTGATGGTGACAATGCTGGGCTGGAGGGACACAGCTGGGGATTGGCTGGGGCTCAGCCTGCACTCCTAATTCCCTTTCCTCATTCCCTTTTGGGGGGGGAACAGCCCCTGAAGATCCTGGCTGGGGGTGGGGGGTCAGATGGAGGACTCCACACCGGCCTTGGCCAGGGGGGGTGAGTCAACATGTTGCTTTTCCTGCTCCCTCTCCCGGCGCTGGTACTCCCGCAGCACCACCAGCGGACTGAGGAAGGCCAGGAGGATGACGATGATGAGGCCAGTGTTCACCTGGATGGGAAAATCAGGTTCTGAACAATACAGAAAGTGGGGGTCAATAAAGTTCCCCCAGGCCCTGTAAGGGGCACGCCCTGTCTCTCACTGCCGGTTGCCAATAAAGTTCCCCCTCACCCCAGACGGGGCACACCCTGTCTCTCACTGCAGGGTGTCGATGAAGTTCCCCAGGCCCCAGATGGGACAGGATGTTGTACTTAAACTACTACAAAGGATCTTTTCAGGGGGAATAAGGCAAAATGCCACATTTATTAGTAATACATGTATTTGTTAATACTGTATCATATGCATATGAGATATATACATATACACTAATGCACTCACATACACACACATACACAAGCATGCTCCGTCTTGTTGTTGTTACCAATTAGTTGCTCCCCTTAACTGCACTGGCCAGGTGAGTTAGATGGGGGAGGGGTGGAGCCGGGCTTCTGCCGATCAGGATCAATGCTCCCATGTGACAAGACGAGACCCGGGGTCCTCTGCAAGACACCTCACTTTTATAGCAGCTTCCCTCTCATGCAAATCTGTACCAGATTCAAAATCTGTGTCTGTGTCCATTGGTCCTTTGTGCTGCTTCCTTCTGGGGGTTGTCCCAATGCTGCTGCAAAGAGGGTGTTTCCAAAAGAAGGTGCTGGCTTCTAACCCCCGAGGCCATCAGTATGTCTGATCTTCTTTAGTGAGCCCACTTGACACGTTTTAGCATCCTTGGGTCTGGCTCTCAGCCCCTCTCCAACTGTTGCAGCTGTTTGGAGGTGCTGCCTTCCATGCCTTCCTCATTCACACCTCATTCATTCAACAGGGCAATTGATTAAGAGTGTGTGTGGGGCGCAGGGGGAGGGAGGGGAGATCTTGTTCTGCTAGCAAAAAGACATTTTTCTTCTATCTTATTCTATCCTTAGGGGCTATAACATTATACCAAGGGCAAGGCAAAGTTTCTACATGAGGCTTTGATACAAAGTTTCCATATACCAAGGCTCATCAGTACAAAGTTTCTATATTAGGCCTTGATACAAAGTCTCATGAAGACAGAGGTCACACATGGGTAGACCCACTACAAGGTTATATGAACAGGCACAATGTAAAGTCATATGAAAATGATCAGAGATTTATCTACAAGGACACTCACATAGAAGGGGTCATCGCTGAGCGGTCCCTTGATGAGTGCGAAGCAGGGGTACTGGAGGAGTGACACCAAGGCCGACAGGCCCATCACCAGCCCATATAGCTTCCCGAAACGTTCCAGTGGGAACCTGTGAAGAGACGACTCAG